TTTCACAGAAATGCAGTTTCAGCAGAATGCAGCAGCAGTATGGGAGTGTGGTGACTTCAGTGAAACTTGATGAATTTGTAAATTGTTCTGTAAATTGAACTTCTCATTTTGCTTCTGCACTACTGTCAGTTTATATTAAGAACTGCAGCTTTGCATGATATAAACTTTGATTAGACTTTGATTAAACTTTGATAGAGACTTTTATTAATAGTACTGTACAGAGAAGCCAGAATGAACCCCCCAGGGGCTGATGAAGAAAAAAAAGTCCAGTGCTGACTAGCCAGCATAATATGCAGTAAACAGGAATGAGAAGCTAATCTATAATTTAAACAATGTGTTAATTAATACAGTATAAATAATGAAATCTGTGTTAAATCCAGGGAGCAATCTTGTCTACTTGCTCATTTAGGAGCAGCTAGAATACCATGCCCTTGAGTAAGACGACAGTAACTGTATGACAAAGGATAGGAGTTGCTTCCCAATCAGCTGATCAGCAGGATTTTTTGCTTGCTGGTTTTTACTGATTTTAGGATGGGAAGTCTTTCTAAAATCAAATGGCATAGTGGGAAAATTGAAGGAAGTAAAAGGGGAGTGCCAAGGGATGACTGCCAGTCTGTGGGCGTCAGTTGAAAATAAGGTGTCGCAGAAAGGGACAGGCCTGACCTCCCCCACCCACCCCGATGCCATGTCCCTCCTGCGTCCCCCGGGCTGGCACTACCCGTCGTGTGACACCCCCCTGCCCTGGGGAGCACAGCTGGATTCCGCTGAGCCTCAACCAAGTTAGAAACAGGAAAAGTACAAGTGTCCAAGGGACCCAGGGTGCAGCCACAGGAATGCTAGTGATGTGACGGGAGCATGCAGTTTGGATGAAGTGCTGGCAGGACTTTCCATGATCAAATCAAAGATTTTCAGGGGCAGCCTGCAGGTAGGTTGGCTTCAGGTGATTATAGAATGACCCCACTGAGACAATTTACCAGTTCAGGTCTGTTTATCACTTTGTCAGTCCTGTTGAGTCAGCAGAGCACGTGTGGTGAGATGTGGCCATTATGCTGGATGTCCAGAGACCCAACCAAGGAAGAGTCTTGCAGCCTTTAGACTGATTTTACTGTGTCAGCAAATCTGCCTAATACTTAGTCTATGGCAGGTTATTGTGGAACTGTTTGTTTTCCTAGCAAAGACTGGGAAACTATTGCTTATTTGCTGAATGGCTTGAAGGGTGGAGGCATTTTTAAGGGACTTACTCGCAGCCTTCTGAATTTATTGGGTTGGTGCAATAATCTAAACACTTTCAAACCTGGTATTTTGGTTCATTGTGACTCAGCGATAGATCCAGTGAAGGACTTGGTTGCCCAGCCCTCGGAGCAGAACTGAAAACATGGGGCAAAGGGCCCAGATCCACAAGGAGTTTCAGGCAGTTGGTGTACATAGGCTGGCACTGGGATCAGTTAGCCCACCCCGGCCTCCAGGCTGTTGCTGTTAGACTGTTTCTGGTAGCTGGACTAGCTCACCTGCAGACGGTTCTGACACTCCTGTCCACATATACGCCCTTGTGCAAACAAATGGGTGCAGGATGAGCATCGGTTGTTTCAGTGGACTTTCTGCCACTGCTCCCCCCACATGCAGAGCTGCCTCATTCCTCATGCAGTTTCGGCCCCAGCCACAAAGCTGCTTAGGACATGACTTTCCTACAGAGTAACTAAGGGAGAACAGAAAGAAAAAGCAAAAAAGCAATGCAGTTTGGAGGTACTGCCGGCTCAGCAGAGAAGTTGCTGTGGGAGTGCTGTGCTCAGAGCACAAGAAGAGAAAGCAAGGGAAACAGACTCCCATGAGGAAAAGACTGGGGAATTACTTATTTTCGAGGCACATCTGTCTTCTAGAGAGTAGATATTTCTTCAAACTCAGAGGAACCACCAGGGTGGAAAAGGTGGAGGTAATGAGGGGGTTAGCTCAGCTCCAGCTTAGTCCAGCATCATACTGAAGCTGTTTCTCTTCTTGAGGAATTAGCACTGAGAAATCATCAGTTTCACTCCTTCCACTCTGGGAGGGACCTGGCTTCTGTAGGCAGAATAAGAAAGATTGTTGCCTCTAATTGTGCCAGTTTTGATGAAATCTTAAAGAAGAATCAGATTTTTAGATAACAATTTAGATACTGTGTGATCAATACTCAGATTTCGCTGGGTGCCAATGCAGAAAAGAAATGCTGCTCCACAATGACTGTCTATGGCCTCCTGCTTAAGCAGTGTTCTGCTGCAGCCATCACAGTACAGTGGTACACAATCCTTGCTAGAAGTTTACATTGCAGTGTTTTAATCTATGCTTGGGGAGCCCAGGCAAGTGCTAAAGGATGCTTGTGGTGCAACCTCTGGGCTTTTGAAGTGGCCCTCGCTGCAGTGTATGGAAGACTGAGAGGGAAGGTTTTGCACACATTGGGCAGTATTTTTCTTGATCTCCATAAGGACATATGCACATGCCTGTATGTATTTCTTACCTTGTTTAGCAGGGCTTAAGGACCGAAATAACAAATGATCCATACCTAGCCAACACCATTACAAAATGAGGAATCTTCAGTCACACATACAACATTCTCCTGTTGGGAATGATGTTATTTTGGTGCATTTGGAATGGAAAATATACCATTTCATAAATAAAATATGTAAGAGTTTTTCTTGTGGTCATTAACGGCTTGATGTTAGAAATACCCTGCTTATAGACCAAGACATTTCCAGTATCATTCATTTCCCATGCCAAATTTGTGGTTTGTGATGCAAGTATACTTTTAAGAACATGGACCAGCGATGGCACTTATCAATTGTCATGATAACTTTGTCCTGCTGGAACAGAGAACTAAAAGAACGGTAATAAAAACCAAGCAGCATTCTCTAAACAAAGAAAATCCATCAATCACTCTGTTTATTGATCCGTGTTAGAAATCTCTATAACAGGCTCAGTGAGTGGACAGCTAGCTGAAGCATATACCTTATGGCTAGGCCTTTTAAAACACCCAGCTGTAGCATGACACCACTGAGAGAAATTATGCTTTCCTTATGCAGCCTCACAGTAAATCTACCATCTTACAGCGCAACGCATTATCCTTAACATTTCTTTAAAAATGAAGAGAGAACAGAAAAAGGATTTTCACAGCTGGCAATATACTAAAGCATATTAGCTTTAATCAGGAGAACATAATGGTACTACTAAAGAAAAAGCTACAACCTTGTTTAATTTTCTTAGTTTTTTATAAATGGAGCCTTTTCTTCTTGGAAGAAAATGGGGGAAGAGAAGATCAGTAAATATTTTCAGCCTTCTCAGCTGAAATCCATAATTATGGTTTTATTCCATTCTGGTTTCTGATACATAGATTTCACAGAGCTGATTGCAGGCTTCAGGAACCATTTTTGCCTTTTAAATTGAAGCGTTTCAGGTTTTCTCTAATTAAGAACCACTTGCAGGGTACATCACAGGCTTAGTGCCTACTCACCAGCCGCATTTGTCATAGACAGATCTGTTATTGCACTAAAATGAGGGTGAGAGGCCTTCTGTATTAATAGTTTATGAAGATAGCTAAATTACAGCTGACCATACAGTATTCTGGATATGTTCTTCTGCTAAGCCTCTCTCTGGAGTCTTTTTCTGGGGGGACAAAGCTTCTTGAAGTGATAATACCTTCTTGTGAATGATAATAGTTTGGACTGGTTGATGTGGGGCAGCATCATTTTGCGAAATAGCTGTAGGAGGTGCTTAGGCAACCTTCATTGCGCAGAACACCAACCAATTAAAATAGAAACTTTGGCTTTCTTTTCCCCTTAAGGTGACAGAGTTTTAGATCTAAAGAAATAAAAACAAAAAACACAGGAAGCAGGACAGATGTTATGAGACATCAGTGCAAAAGGGAGGTTAATGAAAAGCCTCTGATTTATCCACAGGAAACTGCCCAGGATCAAGGTCTTCACAGTTACCCACTTTGTTCCCAGTCCTTTTTCACTCGATCAGTCTCACTGCACGTTACTCATAATAAGATAACTAGACCCAGAGCTTCTTGGAGCAAGGTGCTGTCATAGTTTTGCCTTGTACAGTGGCAAGCACATGAGCTGTTTCTTAAAAACGAATGGCAAAAATGCTGCACTTCCTTCCTTCCTCTGTCCCTCCGCTCCTCCTCCCCGCCTCACCACCTCACGATGGTTATGTCACCTTCTGGATCGCAAGTTCTCATTCACCTCATTCCTTTGCTAATAATTTCAGCCCAGGTGCAGCCATAAGGCAAAACAATAGTGCAATACAAAAGGAAAACTGCCAGGTAGCCAAAAGTAGCACCAAAAAAGCAGTAGAGAAGGAGATACTCTTATCTCTGTATCACTGGCTGACGAAACCCTATGGCAGGACATACGCATGCATTTACCATTTTAAGGAAGTAATCATGCTTGCTGACAGTGTCAACCTTAGAAGGAAACCTAGAGCTTGAAGGAATGAATATTGTTGTAACACTCAGGAGATGACTTGTATTGTTTCAGATAAGCATGGCTGAGAACTGATGGACATGTATTCCATAGACATGGGCATTTTCTTCACAGAACAGCTGTTTTCTGCTGTGCAGTTTTCTGTTTTGCATAATGCCATATGAACCTCATTACTGCACTTTGGAGGGTTTTGAACATTCACAGAAAGAAGCATAGGGAGAAAAGCAATAGTTTGACTGATGCAATTTTCACATTGGCCCAGTGAATAATCAGAAGAGCTCTTCTATTACAAGGACACGCAGAAAGCAAAGCATTATAAATCCTGCCCACAACTCAGGGCCGTAAGAAAGTCTAAAAAAGCTCCAACAACACAGGCTTTCTTGACAGAGTCACTGTTAGCAGCCTAATAGCAGCTAGCAGGCAAGATCTGCTCTTATGCCAGGAGTACGAGGCACACAGCAGTTTGAAAGAAGGATAAATATGTATGTATAGAAATTACATCTTCCTAAAATGATAAAAACCCAAATAGATTAAATGAACCCCTACCTTGGAGAGCCTGGAGCGTACGAGTCTGCACAACAATACAGAGCTGCAGGACCAGCTGTGGTGCACTTTCCAGAAACGTGGCTAGCAAGTGCAGCATACTCACATCTGCATACTCATACACCATTTTCCAATAAAACCGCCATCTGTCATTCTCTCCACTCCGTCGACTCCGAATACCCAAGTATATTGTGTGGAAATACCTAGAAATAAAAGAGAGAGTTTATAGAAATGCAGAACGATATTTTACAGGTAACACTTCTGCTTGAAAATAACCAACATTTTTTCAATGTACTTCAAAATAATGAACATTTGTTTAAAAGGATTATTGTATTGCAATTTATAAGAATTGATGTGATAAGAGTAAACTAAACTGAAGACAAGACTTGCCTTCGTAAAACCATTTAAAAAGCTTAGCATTGTCTTATCTGTTAAATAGTATTCCTTTCAAGGACCTGGTTTTCTGAACTGAAATATAAAGGGAATGTGTTGATTATATGGCCTCCCTCAAAGTTTTTTTCAAATAATGGGTGAGAAAAGCTGATTCTGCCATGTTCTCTACTCAGAACCTGCAAAGAACTGATCTTTCTGCCTGGCTTTAAGCGGACTTGGAAGACCACCTGCACTGAAAGCCTGGGCTGGTCTTAGCCTGGGGCCCAGCTATGGCTGAGCTCAGTGTCCTGATTTTCCACCGGTCTAATGCATTGAATATCATGTTTCAGATGCTGCCAAATATATAGTGCTTTTTCTCATAGTTTGATTATTTTAGGAGGAGAGAAGATCTAGCTGTGAGTTCCTATTTTAGGAGGAGCGGAGATCGGGCTGTGGGTTCCCTTGGTGATTAGAAGTGACTCACTACGACAGCTCCCGTGCAGCAGCAGTAAGAAGAGGCAGGACCCAGGAGCCCAACAGGCTGCTGCTACTGGCAGTAATAGCCAGCAGATGAGAGAAGTGATGGTCAGAAAGCATGCATCAGCTCTGGTGGCCTGTGCAAGCAGGGGCAAAAACACGTGGCGACCAGCCAGTTAAATAGATTTTGGTGGGCTTAGGAGCAATGAGTGGTTTTGGAAAGCAAGGGATGTCTTCCGATGGTCAAGCCACCTGGCTGCTGTGATGCTTTCTGTGACCCTTGCAGAGCTTGCAGCGGTGTCCCGTGATACACCTGTGTCACAGCACAACGACCACTCTGCGTGGGCTTTGATCTGCTCTGTTATTCCGATCTGCTCTCTGTTATTCTGTGTCAGAAAGTCTAGGCTCCCACCTTGCTCCTACAATTTTAGTTTAAAACTAATTACGGCTGGCTGAAAAAACAGTCTCACTTAATGAAAAATTCTGAAGATTAAGATATTATCTTGCATCAGGGTGTCTAGCATCCTACCGGAGTGCCCTCTTGGTCTACTAACTGATGTTAGTCATCTCTCTTTGTCTTTTTCTCGCTCTGTCTTTCACATCCTGGTCCTGAAAGCTTTTCTTTATGATCTTTTTAATATGTTTTCACAGCACCTTTTTTTTAGTGACTGTATATTTTCTAACAAGAAAAAAATTAGTAAATTTTAATCACTTCCAATATGAATTGTTTTAAGTGGTTAAGATAAAACATTTCAATATTTATCCTCCTTTTCACAAGTCCTTGTCTTAAAATCCTTTTCATAACTGGTAGAGCACAGTGAATTGTGGAACCTCTTTTTATACAGGCTGCACGCAACACAGAATCACAGAATCACAGAATAGCAGGGGTTGGAAGGGACCTCTGTGGGTCATCTAGTCCAACCCCCCCGCCGAAGCAGGGTCACCTACAGCAGGCTGCACAGGACCTTGTCCAGGCGGGTCTTGAATATCTCCAGAGAAGGAGACTCCACAACCTCCCTGGGCAGCCTGTTCCAGTGCTCCGTCACCCTCAGAGGGAAGAAGTTCCTCCTCATGTTCAGACGGAACTTCCTGTGCCTCAGTTTGTGCCCATTGCCCCTTGTCCTGTCACTGGGCACCACTGAAAAGAGCTTGGCCCCATCCTCCTGACACCCACCCTTCAGATATTTGTAGGCATTTATAAGGTCCCCTCTCAGCCTTCTCTTCTTCAGGCTGAACAAGCCCAGTTCCCTCAACCTCTCCTCGTAGTGGAGATGCTCCAGTCCCCTCACCATCCTTGTAGCCCTCCGCTGGACTCTCTCCAGTAGCTCTTCATCCTTCTTGAACTGGGGAGCCCAGAACTGGACACAGTACTCCAGATGAGGCCTCACCAGGGCAGTGTAGAGGGGAAGGAGAACCTCCCTTGTCCTGCTGGCCACACTCTTCTTGATGCACCCCAGGATCCCATTGGCCTTCTTGGCAGCCAGGGCACACTGCTGGCTCATGGTTAACCTGTCGTCCACCAGGACACCCAGGTCCCTCTCTGCTCTCCAGCAGGTCCACCCCAAGCCTGTACTGGTGCATGAGGTTGTTCCTCCCCAGGTGCAGGACCCTGCACTTGCCCTTGTTGAACCTCATCAGGTTCCTCTCTGCCCAGCTCTCCAGCCTATCCAGGTCACGCTGAATGGCAGCACAGCCTTCTGGTGTATCTACCACACCTTCCAGTTTGGTGTCGTCAGCAAACTTGCTGAGGGTACATTCTAACTCTTCATCCAGGTCGTTGATGAAGAAGTTAAACAAGACTGGGCCCAGTACTGACCCCTGAGGGACACCACTTGTCACCAGCCTCCAACTAGACTCAGCGCCGCTGATGACAACCCTCTGAGTTCTGCCATTCAGCCAGTTCTCTATCCACTTCACCGACCACTCATCCAGCCCACACTTCCTCAGCTTCCCCAGGAGGATATCATGGGAGACTGTGTCGAAAGCCTTGCTGAAGTCAAGGTAGATAACATCCACAGCTCTCCCTTCGTCTACCCAGCCAGTCATCTGTGTCCCTTTCATCCCTTTTCAGTTCAGTTGTAACTCTGGCAGTGTCCTTGCTGATAAGAATATTTTTGGCCTCTGACTGGCAGAACAGCCCAAGACTCAGTTGCCCCCACAAGGAATGACCGCTGTGCTTGTACCCAGCATATCCTTGTACCCAACACACACGCCACCGCAGAGCAACAGCTTTAGTCAGGAATACATATCCAGCAAAAACAGGGAGTAGCACAGAGAAACAGCTGAGAGGTCAGATCTGAGCCTGCAGCATTTCTCTTGACAACGCACACCACAGCAATATAAAAGGAAAACACATTAAATTCACATTTAAATTAAAATCACACCAGGTGGCTTTGAATTTTATCGAAGTCCCACATGGGAGTGAAGCAGCAATGAACCACTCAGAGACCTGGGACCACAGAGGTACAGTAAATGAGATACCAACCCTACCTCATGCAAAACACTGAGCAGGTATAGATGGGTCAGAGTATGATGGGATAACAGGGGCTCCCTGGTGTCCGCAGGGTCAGGTGAAGTTAAATGGCCTGCTGCCCAGATCTGAAAGAAGGCACTGAGCTGGAAAGGCATCTTCTGCTGTGCGGTTCTGCTAATGGGGTCCATTGGACCCCCAGGTTCTCAGTCACAATCAGTTTAATTGTTCCTAGACCTCCTGCAACACAACAGGGACAGGTGAGACTTGGGTTTCCTTCTGCAGCTTGGTTGTTGGGTGGGGTTTGTTTGGCCTGCCTCACGCGTCCCCCCAAGGGGCACACCTGAGGATACTGCACACAGTGGGCAGACAGCATCTTCAGCATCCTTCTTTTGAGAGATCACTAACCCTTGCTATAAATACCGAAAGTAGCTTTGGTTGCCAAGCCTTGTGCCAGGAGGCTCTGGCTCTGCCAGTGGAGCCATCTGCAACTTCAGCTCTACAGCATTTGTGCAAAAAATACTTTTCCCATTATGCAAATGACATGCTGTGCCAGGCAACATCCCCTAGGGTTCTTTACCTGCTCTGCAGAGTGGTTGTGCATGGCAAATATGTTGTGATTAATGAACCCTTATGGAAATATTTCCTCTCCCATTGCACTTTATTGTGAAACACTGGCAGTGAGTTATTGGGGACTGGGGAATCATTGCTCTTTGTCTACTCAGCTCTCTGCAGTTTAGACACAAGAGGCAGAGGAGGAAGATACTTTCTCTTTTTATACACTGGGGACCAAATTTCAGCGTAGGGTGGTATTTTTTTCTGTCCTATCAATTTTGGCCAAATTAATTGCAGGCTGAAATGAGCATTTACACACATAATTACTGTCACTGATTTATAGGCACAATCAGGTGACTAGACAGCTAAACATTCTCATTTGCATCCACAATTAATTGCACCAGCAATTGATGTTAGGTGTGCAAATTAGCAGTTATTAAAATAAAAAGATGGTCTCATAAAATGCTTCATATATCAAAGACACTTTTTTTCCTATAATGAAACAAAAAAAAAAAAGGGAGAAAGTGCTTTTCTTGTTGTGGTTTCCAAACATAACTTAACGCTGCAGTAATGACACATTCCATTTTATGTACACACGTTATGTAATTGCACCCTCACTGGAGTCCTATTGTCAGCAAATACTATGCAGACACACTTGGAGGTAGTTCCTGTCCTGAAAAGTTTTTATATTTTGGTCTTCTGGTATCATTTTGGTAGCAATTCACATTTTTATGTGAGCCCATGATTTGGCTCTTATATACAGTTATTCCAGAAAGAGACAGGAAGAAGTAATAACAGCCCTGCACCGGAAAATGTCTTAGGCATTTCATTTCATTGTAGGGTAAACTGATGCCATTGAACCTAAAAGAGCAGATGTAAATGTTATTTTGGTTGTGATTGCATCTAGAGGCCTCAACTACAGTTTTGTGCAGGTGCTGTACAAATAAACAAAAACTGCCTATCCATTCCCCAAAGAACATTGAATTGACATGAAAAGAAATGATGAAGAGTGAAGAAGTGAGAGTCAGAGCACCAGAGGAAGGAGGTAAAAAAGAAGGAATGGGAAGTATGGTAAAAATACTGCCATCTAGTAAAGTAACTACTTCATCTAATAAATCAAGATAGTCCAATAAAGTTTCTGATTTCATTAGAAAAGTCAAAAACAAACAAAAAACTCCACCCCCTCCAAAAAATCCAGTTTCATACCTCTCATGTTTGCAGAGAAAAGCTTAGAAGTAACTGAGTTTCCTAAAGATCTTACAGTTAGAAGCCTATAAAATGTACTACAAAAAAGCAATACCAAATCTTGTAAGTTTAAAAATACTCCCCTTTTTTTTTTTTTTGAAGCCAGACCACTGCT